CATCTATTGGACACAGCTCGAGCCTTACTATTCCAGCACAAAGTCCCCAAGCAATACTGGTCTCAAGCTGTACTTTCTGCATCATATCTGATAAACCGGATGCCATCTAAGGTGTTGGGTATGAAAACCCCTTTCTCTGTTTTGTGCCCCACTCTTCCAGACTTTCCCCTTCCAGACTTTCCCCTTCCCACTCTTCCAAACCGGATGCCATTATATAATATTGCAGCTTACCAACCTTTGTAACCATCGCTAGCTTCATGGCTACTGTTTCCAGAAGACTTAGAGAAGAATGAGAATCTGCAACCACTGCTCATCTAGATTGAGATGATGCCATAACAACCATAGTGAACATGAAAATATAAACCAAGCCATGGATCTATAGGCTGATCAAAGCTGATTATTTCTTGGGCCAAGAATAAACAACTCACGCCATGGATCTATAGGCATGATTTTAGGGAAATAGAAGGCATCACACAGGGGCTGAACATTACAATCAATTGGGTAAGAAGGACTGCAAATGGGATGGCCGGTACTCTAGCAAAACAAGGGGTATATAGGCAACAGTTGCTTTGGGTGCAATTGTAACATAGGTAACTTGTGGGGATTGGAACTGACCCTTTGTATTATCAAGATTTAGCATCTCTTAATAAAAATTTTTCATTTCTTCTTGTTGATCAAAAAAAAAAAAAAAAGGAACACAAGCCATGGGCATTGAATCATTGATTTTATTTAAGAATTTGCAATCTATAAGATTTAAAGAAAACTAAATGACTCATAGATAAATAGCTTAACAACTAAAATTCTCAAACAACTTCTAAAATAATAATCTCATAAGACTTTTTTTTTTCTTTTTAATATTCATGCTCTTAGTTACTTATCAATAGGAATTTAGGAATTTTCAAATTTTGATCTTATATCCCAAATTTTGTCACGAATTCTTTAGCTTCTAGAATACTTTCTAAAAACATTAAGGTGCTTCAGGTAGATTTGGTTATGAGACACTGTTTTCCTGTTTACTGGAGTGGAGAAAACCGACGTGTTCTAAGAGGTCACTGGTTTGCTCGTAAAGGAGGTCTTGATTGGCTTCCATTGCGTGAAGATGTTGCTGAGCAATTGGAGTTTGCATATCGCTGCAAGGTATTGTCGATCACAGGGTTCATGATCATCTATTTCTTTAATCAGCATATTTGCTATTGCATCATGTTTGTTCATATTTTTCACTTTCTAAGTACTTAAATTTATAGATGCATTTGAGCCTTGGTCATACCAACTACCATAGTTAATTAAAAATGTTAGTGGAATGAAAATGATAAGCTCTTACAAATGGAAAATATTTTGGAAAATTCAGACTTTCATGGAAAAACATTGTGAAATCTGTAGTAAAATTTTGAAACTCCTTGGAAATTTATTGAAAATAATATTCATTATTCCTTTTATCAGTAAAATAATATTATAAAAAATTATGAAAAAACTAGTAGTTAGTTTTCCTTCTCTTTCTCTACTTTGTGCTTGCAGTTTTTTTGTACATAGTATATAACAGTTATGTTTGAAGTTGTTATTTTGTTATGCGGAAAAGTTTTGTTGGCTTAAAAGTGCTTTTATCATTGGTTTTTTGACTAGCTAAAACTGAGAAGTAAAGTCAAATAGATAAGTAGTGGTTCATATATATGTGGCATTTTGATTATTACTTTTTTTTGTTCTATTTTGTTTTTATTTAATATAAAAGTTATTTAAATATGGATGTGCTTGTTATGCTTATTAAAATTGTCTATTCTTTTATTGGAAATGTTACAGTGGGATCAGGGGTCATTACAAAAAATAATCACAATGAAGTATCACTTTAAACTAAAAGTTACAGATACACATACCCTCTCATAAAATAAGGGCTTGAAGAAGGAATGGTAACTAGAGGAGTGCATACGCTTCGTAATGAATTTATTCTTTAGGTGATACTTTTATGTATGTGGGCTAGGAAATTAACCTGTCTGTAAAGAAAGTAAAGTGTATCCAAAACAATGTGAATCATATAAAATAACTTGGAAATATGCTATGGAACATTTTAGGTACATATTGTCTGCTCTATGCATGGAAGTACAGGAGAAATATTAATAAATTGATCAATTTTAAACCATGACTAATGCATGGAAGTACAGGGGAAGATCTGCGGAATTACAGTTTAGTAGATGTTATGGCTCCTGATGGTGGTATGGTTACACAGGATGTGTAGTTGATCCCAAATAATAGGGACTGAGCTCTATTGAGTGTCCACACATGGAAGCTTGATATCTACTAATTCAATTCAAGAACTGTACTCTGATAATTAATTCACATGCATGGTAATTATCACTTCATCCATACCCAACCATATGAGATTATATAGTGATTTTTTTTTTTCTGCATTCTACAAGGACATGTTTGAAATATTCGGTCTGGATTCTGCAATGGTTTGTCAATGTTCTGATGTTCACTGTCATTACATGTATTTTGGAAGCTAGTCAACCTAATTGCACTTGTAAATTTTCAGATAAAAATAATATATCATCAGTCTGCCAATAAAATCAATATTCACAGTAATGGATATGCTGTTTGTTCACAATGTTGATTGTTCTAGTCCGTTTTTATCTATCACCATTCATGTTATAATATTGCTGTTAATACTGTCCCCTAAATAAATAAATACATAAGAATTGAAAATGATATTGGGAATCCTATTGCATCCAGGTCTGGCATCGGAGGACGTTTCAGCCATCGGGTCTTTTTGCAGCACGAGTAGATTTACAAGGCTCTACTCAAGTATGTACTTAATTATTCTTTTATGACAAGAAGCCCATTCCTTTGATGACAATATACTTTTCCATGTTTAATAAACACCTTTTCTTGCAGGGCTTGCATGCTCTTTTCACTGGAGAAGATGATACTTGGGAAGCTTGGATGAATGCTGATGCCTCTGGTTTTTCTAGCATTGTTGGTTTAAGAGGAAGTGGAATTAAATTAAGGCGTGGATATTCTCCATCTGGATCTCCAAAACCTACACAGGTTTGCCGTCTTGTCAATGCACAGCATCATTGTGCTTTCTGTTTCTTTTATTACCATTTAATGGTAGACTCTGGTTATAGAGTATAGGATGATCTCTATGCCTATTCATTCTTTGCGGTAGAAGAGAATCATCAGAAATTGTAGAGAAGCAACCATTGTTGTTTGGAAGACCAGAACTTTGCCTTGGAATGCATTAGCAGGGTGATTAAGAAATGGTCAATTCATCATGTGGGTGTGGATTGTGGTGAGTAGGATTCCACTTCATGCTTGGGCTATCCACATTTCAAAGAGGTTGGAAACTCATTTGGGCGGTTTGCGTTCATAGATGATAGAAACTAGACCTGGGAGGATCTTTGGCACACAATAATCCTGATTGAAGTGGACATCATGATGACTTAAGGTTTGCAGGAGAGATTTGAGTTAGACATAATTATCAAGGGAAAAGATTTAGCGATAGATGTAATTGATCAGCACAGTTTAATTTCAGAAGAGTGGGGAGTTGAAGATGATGACATGGCAGGCTTTGGAGGTTATTTTGCAAATGTAGTTCAAAAGATAGAAATGTGGTTGGTGGTATTTGGGAAAGGAATATGGATTGGTATGAGCTCCTGGTTTTTGAAGCTGTGTATAAATTTGGATCATTGCTTTAAGTTGGTAGTCAGGTCACTTGTTAAGGGTTTGTGTTTGTGGGCTGTTAGTGGCAGCTACTTTTCTGATTTGTCAAGAAAAGGGTTGTGTGGTTGGAATAGGGATAATCTAAATATCAGAATAGATCAGAATAGGGACCAATCGAGAATTGGTTCCTTTGAGTTCTCTCACATTGGAGGCAGTGGATGGTTGAACTAAGAAATCTAAATAGAATCTTTGTCATTAGAAGTTGCTCTTAAAGATCAGTCCAGGTATATTTAATGCCTCATGACTGATACAGCTTGGTAGATGGGTTCTTCATTTTTTTACTGTAGGAGATCTTCTGAAAACCCTAGAGGTGAGACTGAGTCTGCACCGCTAAGTTTGACCAATGGTGATGGTAAGTATAACTAACTCTGATATTCAGTCAGATGAAAGTGCAAATCTTGAGGGATTGAGTACAGTTGCTGGTTGAGCTTCTCAATGGTGTTATCTTGGTTTCTGAATGGTTTGGTGGAAGATGAACTGTGGAGTAGAATCTAATGATGTTGCTGATCTTTCTTTGGAAGAAACTTTGATCAGAGGTTGTTGTATTGTGGAGGAGAAGAGGAATTGGGTTTTGGGCTGTTTTTCTATTGCTTTGCTGTCTGGTATAGTGACAAACATGTTTAAAAGAGTTGGTAGTCAGTAGATTGTTGCACTCTTTGCTCTGGTGATATTTTATCATCAGAGATTGCATCCTTTCTCTTCTCCTTTTTCTTTAATAAATATTTTTCTTAACCATCAAAAGAAAAGTTGTTTTGGGTCTTTTCTTGGATTTGTTCAGATCTGCAGGGAGAGAGGAATTGAAGATAGTTTTGTTGGAAAATTTGGTGGCCAAGTTAATGACACAGGGCTTTTTGGGGGTTTGATTAATGAGAAGTGATTTTGATGCTGTCAAGGCTGGTGAGGTATCATCTAGCAGAATTGTAGTTGTGGTGAGGAAGGAGGTTTATGGCATGAAAAAAGACAAGTGAGGTAAGTGGTCTGATATTCTGACAACAATTAGTAAGATAGGTTTGTACTTGGGTTGGGTTAAGAAATTTTCAGAGTGCTAAAAATTGTGACATTATCAGAAGTTAACAGCAAAGGATGGTGGCATTATTGCTAAGGAGAATTTTACAAGTAGTGGCAATTGATTTATAGGTTTCAAAAAATATTATTTATTGCATATTACAAATGTGTTTTCAAGGTTGAAGATTGTTCTGTGTGGAGCAGGTCCATGTAAAATGTTTAGAATAATTTATAAAAGAGAGATGTCAAAGACAGTGCCATAGAACAGGTAAATCTGAGAGGCAGTCATTGTTTCACAATTCACTGATTAATTGTAACATTGTAGGGTCTTTCAAGGTGAGGAATAAAGAGTACAATGGGCAGGGGGATTTTGGGAATCCATTGCTGGATAGGGCTGAAGATAAAGATTTTGGTGATGAGAATAATTTCAGAAACAGTACTAAGGGTGACTTTAATCAAATCAAAAGTTTTAGAACCAAGCCATCTTGTGATGGTTCAGTGAAGAATTCCATCATTAGCTTACAGTCAGAATATGCAAGAAAACCTTTTAAGGCACTAGAAATAATATAGAAGAATATCACTAAACCCTCTTTGAAGTGGGATTAAGCTTGCAGGTTGTAGAGGCCTTGGGTTATTGCAGAGGTGATTTTTTGGTGGTGCAAGATAAAGTTTTTTTTTTCTTTGAGTTGTTCTTGCTTCTTGATTAGTAAAGATAGGCTTGGATTAAGTTTTGTTGCTAAAGGGGGATGAATGTATACATGGGCTGTTTTGTTTTGTTCTGTGTGGGTTTGTTTTGGGAGGTTGTTTGCTTTAAGTCATTGAATTCTTTTCTAGGTAGTTTGTCAGATGGTTATTGATGGGTTCCAATTCTGGGAAGTTCTTATTTGGATGGGTTTGGCTGAAGTTTATTTCCTGTTCTCTCTCTATGATTTCTCATCACCAGCTCCTGGATTCTCCTTTTGTTTCGATAAAATCTCATTTACAATAAAATACTATACTTTTTTTTCATCAATAACGTTGAATTTTATTTAATATATAAACAAAAGATGTACATATATACATGCATTCATTTGAGAGAGAAGACATCATATCTCTCACCTCTCTTTCATACTGTTACGCCCAGAACATTTGATCTCTCCCCAGTCCCCACCCCATCTCTTTTTTTTTTGATCAGCAAAGTGAGAATTTTATTCAATTAATTTAATTAAAATAGAGTTGCATCAGAAAGAGCACAGACATTTCAACAGAAAATGTTACATTAAAGCCCAAAAAAGCTGTTGCCTTTGAACTCCCTGTTTAGCTAGAGAGTCAGCCATTCCATTTGCAGTTATCCTGACCCATGTGAATGAGGCATCAAGTTCCCTTGCTATGCTTACTATCTCCCTTAATGGATGTCTGTAGAAGGAACGTTACTGCTTGAATTGGTCCAAGATATCACTGTTTTTGAGTCCCCTTCTATCTCCAAGTTCTTAAGTTAAGCTTGCTTGGCAATCTTTAGCCCTTGCAGCAGGGCTCCTGAGTACAAAGCCAACACTTTCTTGAGGAATCTCTAATCACACCACCAATGCCTGCCGTACCTGGGTTTCCTATAGAGCTCCCATCAAAGTTCAGCTTTAACTTATTGGGGCCTAGGGGCTTCCATTCCATCACTTTTCTTTCCTTCTTCTCAGCAGTGCGTGCCATTTCATTCCAGGCTCTTACAATATCAGTAATTGGGATATTTTAAAAGAGCTGGAGTGATTTTACCCAGAGAGCAACTTTTATCTATGGACTCCACAATAGCCTCCTTTGGCCTATGCTTCTCATTGAAGATTCTTGTATTCCTTTCCTCCCATATTGTTCACACCACTGCAGCCCTTGCTGATTTCCACATAACCCTTCCTCTTTTTGTTGGCTGCCTTAGAAAGTTTGGTTCAAAGAGGCTTACTACATCTTGGGGAGCACTCCACCTGCAACCAAAGAGAGCATAGAGATTCCCAAATAAAAAGAATAAAAGGGCAATGGATCAATAAATGAGGTAGGGATTCACCATTTGCAGAGCAAAGGATGCACATATGAGGGGAGAGGCATTTATTGGGCCTCTTTTTTGAAGCATGTCGCAAGTATTTATCTTCCCAAGAAACACCTCCCCAGTCCTCATCTCTTGCTTTGCTAAAGCATCAGCCATGCTGTTATCTGTCTTTTATACCCATTGAAATCTCACTTCCATGTCATTTATTCAGCCATCTAAGCTTCTTTATCTCATTCCTATAAGACCAAAGAGCTGCCTCCCTGCTCTGCAACCACCCTATCACCTATGTACAATCTCCTTAAATGATCAATTTGCTCACATTCATGTTCCTTGACCATTACACTTGTTTTATCACAACCATAATTTCATTCCTAAATGAGTCTCCTACACTAACCAGGCTTTGATAGCATAGCAACAATATGACCTTCCTCATCACTAATCAGGTTTTGGTAGTCTTTATCAAGGATGTTTCTCCCACATCCTTTCATTTTTTAATGATTCCATCAGTTGAGAAGGATGAAAAGCTCTCCTAAGATTTTATCTTGAATGTTGGGTTGCATGCGAAGTTGAACTAGTAGTAGAAGCTAGTTATATGTGGATCAACTTCTTAGAGAATCCCATTTGTTCAAAATTGGAGAGTTTTCTGTTTTTCTTAGACTGATAGGAACATTGGGAAGGGTTGACTTCTAGAGCCTCTCCTAGGTTAGTTTTTGACCAAAGGCCATATAGTCAAGAAGTTGTGGGGGGAAGGGGGTGGGCCTGTGTCACCCCATTTAGATTTGAAAATATGTTGCTTACTCAGTTTGGGTCTACACAAAAAGTGAATAAATGGTGGAGGGAGGGAGTAAACAATGTGAGATTCCAAAAAAGAGATACATCAGTTGAAGGCTAAAATGGAGTGGAATAGGAAGGATTTTGAGTAAAACAAGGATGTACACTTCAGCACCCCTTCCCATCCTCTCTGATCCTTTCTTTATGTTTTGTTTTTTTTTTCTCTTTTTTTTTGTTTCTCTCAAAATTTGAAAGGGAACATATAGAATAGAAATTTAGTAGCTTGCCACACAGGTTTGAATGCCTATTGAAAGATGAAGTGCTGTAGTCGAAGTAGTAGAAGAAAGAAGAAGACCAAGAGATGCTGAGAATGTCGAACTGAATAATCCAGTCGACAATACTATTATTTATATTAGAGTATAGTACAATGTTACAGAAAAATGTTGGAATGCCCCTGATTAGTGATGGGACACCCAGACAATTTAAAACACTAAATAAACTTAGGCCCATTAACACAGGCCCAGTACATAATAACTTA